CTCCATCCCGCTGCCGCCGCCACGCCGCCCCCCTCCACCCGCCCCCACTCCCCATACACACACACCTCAGCCGCAGGCCCGTCCGCACCTGAGTACACGCCCAGCGCCAGCAGGCTGAGGCCGCCCACCGCGGTCAGCAGGCGGTCTCGGTCGGTGAGCAGGGACAGCGCTGCAGAGCCCAGGTTGGAGAAGGTGGTGTTGATGGCCTCCACCAGCCGCTTGCGGTCCTCCTCCAGCTTGATCTGCAGCTCCCTGCGGTACGGCACGGTGCGGTATGGTACCATGTGGTATGGTACATGGTGCGGTACCAGCGTATGCACCTCCCCAACCCAACTCCGCACCTTCCCGCCAGCCCCTCAGCCTCCCCCTCAGCCACCACACCACCACACCAGCGCACACAGCACACCACAGCACACCACAGCACGGCACACAGCACAGCACAGCACAGCGCAGCACAGCACAGCACAGCAGGCAGAGCGCCGCCCTCACTCTCGGTAGATGTCCTTGTTGCGCCGCCGCTCCTCCGCCCGTCCCTCTGCCTCCGCCAGCGCCTTCTCCCGCTGCACCTCCTTCTCCAGCGCCGCCTTGTACTTCTCGGTGGCGCGCCGCTCAGCCTCAATCTGCTGCGCGATCGCCGCCTTCTCCGCCTCCGCGCGCTTGCCAGACTCCTCCTGCAGGGAGGGTGCCGGCGCGGGTGCGATGCAGGGGGGCAGGGGGCGGCATGAGGGGCAGCACGCAAACAGGCAGGCAGGCAGGCAGGCAGGCAGGCACGTGTGAGCGGCCGCGGCAGGCAGGTGTGTGCAGCAGGCAGGCTGAACAGGGCCAGCCTCGTCCGCCGCACCCCACTCCACGCATCACCAGCCACATCTGCAGCACCACCACACCACACCACACCACACCACCTCCACACATCACACGTCACACCTGCTCACCACCACACCTCCACACACACGCACACCGCCCCACCTCCACCCAACCACACCACCACCGCACACCACCCATCACACCTGCAGCGCCACCAGCTCCACGTTGCGCTGCCGCTGCTTCTCGTGCTCCGTCTCCATGCGCTTCCTGGCCAGCTCATCCTGGTACTGCGCCAGCTGCGCCTTCTGCTGCGAGTCCTGCTGCATCGACTTGCGCTGCTCCTCCCACCGCACCTTTTCGTGTTGCTGCGCGGGGCGGTGAGCGGGGGCAGCAGGGGGGCGGGCACGGGTGGTGAGCATGGGGAGGTGCGGGTGGATGAGCGGGCGCACCCAGCGCCGCCGCATTCGCCCAGCTGAGGTGGGCATGCATGCGGGCGCCTGGCGAGTCCCAGCTGCCGCCCAGGCGCTGCCCCGGCTGCCCCGGCTGCCGCCGCCGCAGCCGCCACCCGGTCTTTGGAGCCACTCACGATGGCTGCCTGCTGCGCCTGCGCCTGGAACTCAGCTTCCTTGGCCTTCAGCTCCTGCTGCTTGGTGGCCTCCTGGAACTTGATTTGCTCAAACACCTGCACTCGGAACAGGCGCTGGGGCAGCTTGAGTCGCGGCTGGCGGCGGCGGCGGCGGGCGGCGGCGGCGGCATGGTGCCATCACCACCGCGCCGCACCTTTTTGGCATACGGGCTCTTCTGTATCTCCCGCAGGGCCTTGGCGCCCCGCTCCAGGGCCTCAGGATCGAACATCTTGGCGGTGTCATCGGCGCATGCCGCCACTGTGGTGCCCAGCGCCACCCCAGCGATGCCCAGGGCAGCCCTCATGCCGGGCCCGGAGCGGGCCACGGCGCCGAGCAGCGACATGGCCCGGAGTGTGCTAGAACGCTGGGCAGGGAGGCGGCAAGGACCCTTGCAGCCAGCCAGCAATGCAGCAACTCCCGATCGAACAAGGGTTTTGCCCAGGAGAATGATAGCGAGCCTGGCTGAGAAGCTCTGGCGCCGCTTTCTTGGGCGTCAAGACGGCCGAAAAACGAGGGCCAGGGCTGGCCGATCGAGGCGCAGGCAATGCTGGGATTGTGCGATCGATCTCAGGACGCATATGCGAGCGGCAGGTAGGGTGCCGACACCGTCCGCAACGTGGGGCATGTGCGCGCACTGTGGCGGGAGCAGAATGCCGCCACTTGTGCAGTGAAGGCCAAGGCTGGAAAATCAAGGGTTCTTGCAGCAGCGCGGTCAGAAGAGATCATGCCGTTATATTTCGCCGAGGCAAGGTGACCAAACTCACAATCGTCCAGGGAGCACAGGCTTCCTGCGGGCATCGGCTGATCGCCGACTCGATGAAGGTCGTCAGTCCATGCAATTCCAGCTACCAGCCCACTGAAGGACTGATTTACTTCATGCTGGAAAATGCCCGCAGGTCAAGCCGATAAGCTATTGCATCACCGCTGGCATCATGAGACGCAGGTGGCGGCTGCAGGCGGGACTGCCGCCCAGTCGCAACTTGCTCGGCCCTCGTGGCCCGAGCGCATATGCGCCCCTCGCCACAACTTCTAGGCATCAATCTGCGCCTGCTGAATTGCCCACAGCCCCGCTTGAAAACCTAGCGACGTCGTCTTAGCGCCAGTTTTCATCGCGGTTCTCAGCAGAAGCACAACATGCGGATCGTGGTGAAGAGCGATGGCGTGCTGGTCGTGCAGCTGTCCTTCTGGAACCGCCTGGCCGCCGCCCGCTGCAGCGACGTGGTGCTGCCGCTGGCGCTCGTCAAGCTTCCTGTGCGGCGGCAGCCCCAGGAGGCCTTCCGGATCTGCAAGGGGCTGAGGGTGGGCACTGGCATACCGGGAGGCCTTATCGCAGGTGTGAATCTGGGCCCACACCTGCAGCCACACACGCCTTGCCGCTCCGTTTTCTCAGCAACTGCCTGCTGCCTGCTGGGCGCCCCCCACCGTGGCCCTCCTCCGTCCCTTGCCGCCTCTCCCCTGCAGGCTCTTTCTACCACCTAAGCAGCCCCCCAGACTTTTACTACATGTCCAAAGCCGAGCGCACCCTGGCCATCGACCTCCATTCGCCCCCCTGCCGCTACGGCAAGGCCATCCTTGAAGTGGGGCCCGGGGAGAGCGTGGAGGCAGTGGCGGCAGCAATAGAGCGAGCGGTGGAGGCACACGGTGCAGCACAAGCGGTAGCAGCGTCTGCAGCAGACGTAGGAGGGGAAGGAGAAGGGAGAGATGCGACAGCAGCGGGGGGTGCGCAGGAGCCTTCGCTGACCACCGCGTTGATGGGCTGACGTGCCAGCATTGCCCTTTGGTTTCCATTCAAGTGCAATTAGAGGAAACTGTTGCTGTGAGCCGACTGGCAATGCAGCGACGAAACCAAGCCAGCCAGTGGGCGGCGGGCAGGGAGGGTGGCAGCCGGCAGCAGTGGCGGCGGGTGGCCGGGAGCACAGACCGGGCCTTCTGCAACGCACTGGTCAGCAATCCACTGCGAAAAACGCAGCACAGCGGCTGTGAAGATGCGCGCCGGGGGCGCCAGGAAGGGATGAGCTGCCTCATTCCTGCTTTGCATCCCCCACAACTTACCCCAGTCGTGCCTGATCACTTGCGCAGCTCTTGTGCGCGCCTGGAGTGGCTGGCGCCCACAATTGCGCCCTGACACTCAATAACTTGTCTCCCTCCTCCACCTCCCCTTGCTGCCTCATCCTATCTGCACGCGACAAGCCATGCAGCTGCTGCGGCCCCTGCTCCTGAGGCGGCTGCGCGCCGCCCTTCAGCTCATTATTCCGGTGGCAGTGGCAGCGGACACGGCGCGCAGCGTGGTGGTAACCTACCAGCTCGCCCAGCAGCGGCTGAAGGTGAGCTGGGCGGCGATTGTGGCTGCACCTACTTCACCCGCCTGCCGCCGCCCACCCCCGCCGTGGCTGCTCCTCCCTCGCCACTGCCTCTCGCCTGCAACACCCCTGCCAATCCGCCTCACGCAGGAGTGGGAGGAGGAATACAATGAGGAGACGCAGGCAGAGATTCGGTCGCTGCTGCGAGCTGTGGCCCACCGCTGCGCCGCCAAAGACGGCGACTTCTGGCCCCCTGGCCTCTCCCTGGGCGATGCCCGCTCCCATGGCGGCCCCCACGGCAGCTTGGCCAGCGGAGCAGCAGCAACAGCGGAGGGCGACGAGGCGGCAGAGCAGGCAGCCGACATCTGGCAGCTGCTGGGCCTGACGGCCTGCGGCGGCAGCGGAGGCGGCGGTACCAACGAGAGTGCCTCGGCAGAGCTGGTGCCGCCGTCTGCGGCAGCTGCCGAGGCGGCGGCGGCAGAGGAGGCCAGGGCGCAGGCCCGCTGGGCGGCAGCCGAGGCCGAGGGCCAGCTTGTGAGCTACGAGCAGCAGCAGCAGCAGCAGCAGCAGGGCGCCTGCGACGCAGCGGCGGCGTCACGGCCTGCGCGGCAGGGCGCCACGCTGGTGGTCGTGTCGCTGCGCGAGGCACTGGGCCAGGTGGCGGGCAACGTAGCTGCCCTGCAGCTGCCCTGGAGCACGCTGATGCAGACGCCGCAGCCGCCGCCGGGCGTGGTGCGCGTCACGCTGGGCGACGTTGCTGACATCCTGGGCTCCACCTGCCCCGCGCGTGCCGCCGCCGACGGCGGCCACGCGCTGTGCCGCGCCGTGCTGGCGGCCGCGGACGCCGCGCGGGAGGAAGCGCGCCGCGCGCTGCCCTGGCCGCAGCTGCAGATCAGCCGCGTGTCGGCGCTCAGGTGGGGACAGGGTGGGCGGGACGGGGAGGGGGAGGCAGGCACTGTGGTCGGTCGGTACCCGACAGAACTGCACAGCTGCTGGTTAGGAGGGGGCCACCCGGCACCATGCCGACCTCTGCCTGACTTTGCCCCCTTTCACGTGGCCCCCGCAGGTGCGCGGTGGACTGGCACGGCGTGCACTGGCCCGGGCCGCCGCCGGAGCCGCTGGAGCGCCAGCTGGCGTGCTGCTGAGCTGGCGAGGCCCAGATGTGGGCCGCGGAAGTGCCCCTGAGCTGGTGCTCCCCTGAGCTGCTAGGCCCCACAGCGTCTCCCATAAACTGGGCGCTTTGACCCCTCCAGGGCAGCGAGCGCTGCGCCATTGTACGCCTGCGCTCGCCCTTCGCCTGCGCACTTCCGTCGCACCCTGTACCCTCCTTCTCGCGCCTTACTTCCTCTGGTCACACTCCTGCCAGCGCAGCTCTTGCGCTCCTTGCCCCGCCGTTTCATGTCCCCCCCTGCTGCCCAACTGCTCCTCCTGCGTGCCCGGCTGGTCCCTCGTTGCTCCGGCCTCTCAGCAGCAGAGTCTGAAGGAGCTGCTGCTGGTCTTTGGTTCGCTTGTACTCTCCCAACCAGTTCTTTCCTGTACCCGACGCCGCGCCTAATATGGTGGGCTTTCCCAATACAGCCTGCCCCTGCCCCTCTGCTCCCTGTACCACCCCGCCCCTGTGGCTCCTGTGCCAGCTCCAGCACACCTTGCCCATTTCATTGACCGCCAGCGGCCTTGATGGCTGCTCTGCGTTACGCATCTGATTCCCTGCACCTGGACCAAACTCTCCAGTCGCCCCTTGCATGCTTTGGTGATTGGCTGCCGCCTTCCTGATGTCAACACCCGGCGACGCACATTCCTGGGCTGCCGCCTCGCCGAATGATCAACGGCAGGGCTGCGCAGCCACACAAGGATGCAGCCACAGAAGGATGCAGCAGCATTGGAATCTAGGACAGCAAGCGGTGGGGCAGGAGTGGTGTGAGTCAGGGGCTGGAGATCTCAGGGGGCATGAGGTCCATGGCTGCAAACCCGGTCTCAGCGTCTCCGTGCTGTGACGCGGCGCAGCAGCATTGCTGTCGGGTATGGCGCCGAGCCAGGATGGCTGACGCTGAGCCAGTGCAGTGCATCCTGGCATTGGCGCTGGAGGAACACTAAAAGCGTTGCCGAAGCGTTGCCCAGACTACAGAGTGGGGCAAACCCCTTGAGCAACATCTGGAGCGGGCGGCGGAAAGACCGGCAGCAGCGGGACATTAGCTGCACATGCCGTGCAGCCACCCTGGCACCTGCACAAAGGGCAATGCAGTCAACTCGGGCGTGGTGCATGGAGCAGCTGGGCTCTTCAAGGGTGGGCTCGCCTCGTCCTGCATCAAGCGCCAGGCGGGATGCCGCCAGACGGGCGGCGCGCAAAGGACCAATGCGTGGCCTGCATTCTGGGTCTTGTTCAGGGGCGCACTCCCCTTCCTTCTGGCTGCGGCATATGGTGGCAACCGCGCTGGCGGGGAATCTGGTGCTGGTCGCCGCCTGCGCGCTATACGCCTACTACACTGCCTGGGTTTTGGTCACGGTGAGCTGCGCATATGCATTGACAAGGCGGCGCCGCGCCAGGCACACCGAGGCGCAAGTCCCATCATCCAGCTTCTGCTCCCTGCAGTCGTTCGTGGAAGAAGGCCAGCCAATACTTCGCCTGTTCCCTCCCCGCCACTTTGCGATAGCAGCGCCCGTGCTGGCGGGCGTGGTGCTCTTCGGCGTGACGCTCTGCACCCTTGGAGGCTTCATCGTGTCCTCTGAGCTGGGCAAGTGAGTGTGGTGCTTTTGTCACAGCTCCTAACAGCGCAGCGCCCACCCGCCGCTCTCGCCGCCACTCACCCGCCGCCACACCTGCCGCCGCCTGCTCCGTGCAGGCTCCGCCAGCAGTGGGCTGAGGCCAAAGCCAAGGCGGCGTAGTTCCAGCGAGTGTCATTCACCCAGGTCCTGCCTGCCTTGCAACCAGGGCTCGCCTGCCCTGCATCCACCATGGCGGCGGCGGCGGCGGCGCTCAGCGAGGAGGCGTTGCTGAATTGGCAGCAGCAGGTGGACGAGGTGCAGGCGCTGGAGGCCATCTATGGGGACAGCTTCCAGGTGCTGGAGGTCCGCGGGGTGCTGGAAAGCGGCAGCAGCAGCAGCAACGGCCACTGCGGCCATGGCACAGGAGGCGGCGGAGAGGAAGAAGAAGAGGGCGCGGGCACGAGCGGCCGTGGCAGCCGCACCAGCGGCGGCGGCGAGGGGCCGCCCCTGGATGCTGCCAGCCTGGCGGAGCTGGATGGGCCCTGCAGCCCCGCCTGGGCGCTGCACTGCAGCCTGATGGTTGGGGTGGAACCGCACGCGGGCCGCCTGCGCCTGCTGCTGCCTGACCAGCTGCCGCAGCAGCAGGACGTGCAGCAAGGCCCCTCTTCCGGCAGCGACGGCGGCAACGGCAGCCCCGGCGCGGGCCCCGACGCCGCGGCAGCAGAGGTACCGGCCAGCGGTACCGGCAAAACGACGGCCGGTGCAGGCTGTACCGTGCAGTACCTGCCGCCCATCTGCATGCAGCTTCGGCTGGGTGGAGGCTACCCTGGGCAGGAGCCGCCCGGCGTCAGCTTGTCGGCGCTGTGGCTGGGCGCGGCGCAGGTGGCCCGCCTGCAGCGCCAGCTGCTGCGGCTGTGGCACGAGCAAGGCCCCGGCGGGCCTGTGTGCTACACATGGGCCGACTGGCTGCAGAGCAGCGCGCTGCAGCACCTGGGGGGGGAGCAGGCGCTGCTGCTGGCGGATGACGCACCCAGCAGCGACGGCAGTACCAACGGCGGCGGGGTGGCGGCGGGGGAGCCTCGGGCCGGCAGCAGCGGCAGGCCCGACTCCCCTGGGGCAGAGGGCGGCGACGAGGTGGAGCAGGAGGTGGCGGAGGAGAGGCTGGTCAAGCTGCTGAGGTGCGGCCGGCGGTCAGGCCCCGCTGCCCACACCGCGCGCTGCCGTGCGCTGCGCTGCGCCGTGCTTCGCTGCGCGATGGGGATCGCTGCTGCTTGCACACAACAATACACACTCTGCGGTGCGTTCATCCTGTGGCACCCACCATGCGGTACCGCACCCCGCGGTACTCACCCTGCGGTACAGCATCCCCCCCGTGTAGGTACGATGCGGTCCAGGAGCACGCCGCTTTCCAGCGCGCCCGCCACACCTGCGGCGTGTGCCTGGAGGAGGCACCCGGCACCGCCTTTGTGCGCCTGGAGGGCTGCCGCCACGCGTGGTGCGCGTTGTGCCTGGCGGAGCAGGCCCGCATTCACGTGGCGGAGGGCGGGCTGGAGAAGCTGAGGTGGGTGGCGGCCGGCCAGCTGGCGCCAGCTGGCGCCGGCGGGCGGCGGCGGGTGGCAGCGGGACCATCGTGTGCACGCGTCAGTGCTGGTGCTAGCACACCCTACGGACGGCGCTGCCAAGCGCGCTTCTTGCTTGCGGCCATGCCATTGCCATTCATGCGTCGGCCCCTGCCCCTCCGCACTTCCCCCTTGGCGCTCGCAGGTGCCCCGACCCTGGGTGCGGCGCGGCGCTGGCGCCCGGCGTGCTGCGCCGGGTGCTGAGCCCCGACGACTTTGGGCGCTGGGAGCAGCTGACGCTGCAGCGCACGCTGGACACGATGCCGGGTGGGTGGGCTGGGGGAAGTCCCCTAGGGTTCTTAAGGGATGAGCTCCTGCAACCCGCGGGCCTGTGGGCAAGGCGGCTCCGGCCTGTCTTTCCCGTCCATGCTGCACGCACGCACGCTCACAGCGTCCTGCCATCCCAGCAGGCGCTTGGCCGGCCGGCTGCCCAGCTGCGCCGCCGCTGCTCCATCTCACACGCCTCGCCCTCCCCCTTCCCCACCCCCTCCCACTTGGCCGCCCGCCCTGCCGCCTGCCTGCCGCAGACGCGGCCTACTGCCCCCGCTGCAGCAGCCTGGCTCTGGAGGATGCTGACTCATGTGCCCAGTGCCCCACGTGCCTCTTCGTCTTCTGCTCGCTCTGCAACGAGGGCTGGCACCCGGGTGCGAAGGCAGGGCAGGCAGCCCGCCCCGCGCGGCCGGGCCAGGCGTGCCCCAAGCCAGCCAGCTGCAGGGGCGCGGGGACGGCCGCTCGGTGCCCGCTGCACTCCCCATGCACCCGCTTGCCACCCATACTGCGCGTCTCTCCTGCCAGCTCCCCTGCCTGCCTGTACTGCCTGCCCGTACTGCCAGTACCTGCACACACCCCACACACTCCCACACACTCCCATGCTCACCCCCGCAGGCACCACCTGCGTCAGCGCGGAGACCAAGCTGGCAATGGTGCGGCGCAAGCTGGCGGGGGGCGGCCGCGCCGCCGTGGACGACCTGCGCCGCCAGGAGCAGGAGCTGCTGTCGCTGGCGCAGATAGAGGCGGGTTGGGCGGCGCTGTGTGTGTGTGTGTGTGTAATGCATGTGTGTGTGCGTGGTGGTGTGTGTGTATGTGAGTTGAGGGGGTGGTCATTGCTGGCAGCAGTGTGTGGGTTTGGTGAAGCGCTCGGTGGCAGCAGCCTCGGCGGCTCCAACCGCCGCCCGTCGCCTGGCCCCGCCTGCCGCAGAAGATGTCCAAGCGGTGCCCTCAGTGCGGCATGGCCACACAGAAAGCAGAGGGGTGCAACAAGATGGCCTGCGGCGGCTGCGGGGCCTACTGGTGCGGCGCGGCCCCGGTGGCGCCGCGGCCCGCGCTTGCCTCTGCCAGCATGGCCCGCGGCACTTGCATGGCTGCCCCACGTCTGCCTCCCGCCTTCCATGGCGTGGAAGGCATGCCACGTGTTCATCTCACAGAGCTCCATCTGTTGGCGACCCCACTTTGCACCGATGCGCCTGACCCCTGCCCTGCCCTCCGCTGTCTGTGCCTGCCTGGCCCCTGCCCCTGCCCCGCGCCTGCAGGTGCTGGCGGTGCGGCAAGGAGATCGACGGCTACCGCCACTTCCGCTCGGGCCAGTGCATCCTGTTTGACGAGGCGGAGATACTGAGGTGTGTGTGTGTGTGTGTGTGTGTGTGTGTGTGGTTGGGTGGCTGGCTGTTGAGGCGGTGTGTTTGTGGAGGTGCTGGTGTGGCTGGTGTGTGCGTTTGGTGCCAGGCGGAGGAGGTGGTGGAGGTGTATCGTGGAGTGGGGCGCGTGAGGTGCTCACTGCCCCCACTCCGGCGCCCAGCCCTCCCGCAGGTGGGAGGCGCAGTGGGAGGAGATGCAGGCGGCGGCGAGGGTCATGGCGGCAGGGCTGCGCAACGAGATGGTGGGGGAGACGGCGGCGCGGGGCGGCGGCCGCCCACGCGGCTGCTTCTGCCCGCAGGCAAGCCGGGGGCGTGCTGGGGGGCTGAGTGGGCGGCAAAGAGAGAGAGAGAGAGAGAGAGTGTGTGAAATGCGCAGCAGGGCGCTGCAAGGGGTGGCTGCGCTCAGCCCTGCGCCGGCTTGCCGGGCGCGTAATCTGACCGGCGTGCCTCCTCGACTCCCTCCCTCGCCTGCTGTGCAGTGCGGCCAGGTCAACCACAAGATAGGTGAGCGGGTGCGTGGGTGGGTGGAGCTTTTGTGGGGAGCAAAGGGTAAAGCAGGGCCTGGGGCTGTGTGAGTGGGTGGGGAGGTGCCGAGGGCGGCGGAACACCTGCCCAGCACCTGCGCGCCTCTCCCCAGCTCTCCAATCCCCGCCCCAATCCCCTGGCCAGCTGAAGCGCCCCGCCCCCGCGCCCGCGTGCCCCTCCCCTGCGCCGCGCTTTCCTCGCAGGCAACAACAACCACCTCGCCTGCTGGTCCTGCACCTCCCACTTCTGCTACTGCTGCCGCGCGGTGCTGCGCGGGCGCGGCGCGGGCGGCTCCCACTTTGGGCCACGTGGCTGCAAGCAGCACTCTTCCGAATGACCGGCCGAGGCCCCGCGGCGGCGGACTAGGGCAGCCTGGCCTCGCACGCAGCCGCCAGCCCTGCGCCATTGTTGTTCCTGTTGCCAGCAGCCACGCCGGCAGCTGCTTACAGTCCGGGGCATGTAAGAAAAGCACAGGAAGAGTGGCATGCATGGCATTCGCCCCGCCTCGCAGCGGGCGGCGCCCGAGGCCCCCGCCGGGCCGCGCTCACCGCCGCGCCGCCGTCCGCTGCGGCAGCTTGGCCACTTTGTACTGCCTCACGCTCGCACCAAACTTGAACACGCTGCCCACCCGCAGCTGCTTGGGCACCTTCGCCTTGATCCAGGCGTCATCCACATTGGTGCCGTGGGCTGCGGAACAGGAGGAGGAGGTGGAGGAGGTGGAGGTGGCGCGGATGGAAGCCTCGAGGCCCAGGAAGGAAGGCTGCTGCCGCCACGGGCAAAGAGCGCAAGTTGCACTGCAGCCTGGCAGGCCCCGCAGGCCAGCCAGGCAGCACCCCAGCAAATCCAAACACACACACACACACACACACACACACACACACACACACATCCACCACACACACACTGTGCATACCCAGCTGCAGGCCGCCTCACCCGACCCCATGTCTGTGACAAACAGGTTGCCCGCGCCGTCTGTGGTCAGCTGGGCATGGGCGCGCGATATGGACAAGTGCTCCAGCTGCACGTCGCACGACGGCATCCGCCCAAACACGCACTCCTGGCTCACCCGCCACAGCTCCACCACCAGATGGCCTGCAGAGGGGTGGGGGTGGGGGTGGGTGGAGGAGCGGAGGGCAGTGGGCGGCAGAGAAGGTGACGAGGGAAGAGGAGGCAGCAGGGGAGGTGAGCGGCAGGGGAGATGAGCAGCAGGGTCAGGGCAGGGGAGAGGGGCAGCCGGGCGCTGGCGCTGGGCAGGTGGGGAATAGGACGGGCCGCAGGGGAGCCCAGCAGGCGCGCTGGCGGTGCTAGCACGCAGGGAGTCTGGTAGTGTGGTGGCGTGGCAGCGGCAGCAGGGTGCCTGGGGAGCAGCAGGGCGCGAAGGAAGTGGGGCACACCTACCTAGCGACTTGCCCTCCCGCACCACCTCCAGCACCGCTCCCTCTGTGCTCTCCACATCCACACGCTCCTCCTCCTGCTGCTGCTGCGCTGGAGCAGGCTCCGCAGCGGCGCCGCCACGGGGCTCCTCGTCCCGCCGCCGCCGCTCCCTGCTGCCGTCACGCCGGCGATCCCTGCTGCGGCTGCGGCTGCGCCGCCGCTGCCGGTCTCTGCTGCGGCTGCGGCTCCTGCGCCGCTCCCGGCTGTGGCTGCGCCGCCGCCGGTCTCTGCTGCGGCTGCGGCTGCGCTCCCGCCGCCGCTCAAGCTCGCCACCCCTTTCGGCCGGCAGCGGCGCCTTGGGCGGCGGGGCCGGCGCCTGCGCCTTGCTGCCAGCTGGCGCTGACGTGGCGCCAGCTGGGATGAAGGTCACCTGCACCTTGGGCTCGACTATTTCCGCCACCACCGGGGCGTCGGCGCCGTGGAAGCCGGCAAAGGCGTCGGCGTTGCTCCTGCGCAGCAGCATGTCGGGGCCAGGGGATGCGCCATCGGGGCAGGGGTCCAGCCGAGAAGACAAGCGCATGCCCAGGAGAGGCGAGGAGGCAGAGGCCAGACGCAGGCAAGCAGGCTGCACACACAGCCCCGCGTGAAGCAGATGCAGGCAGGCCTTGAGGCGGCGGGCCCGCCAGCAGCGCGGCTGGACAGCAGCTCAGAGCAGGGGGCATCTATACAGCCACACGCTCACAGGCATTCTCAACAACACACACACACAAAGACCAGGGCGTGCACACACACCCTACCACCACCGCCGCCGCCGCCGCCGCCGCCGCCAGGCCCCACCTCTCCGCGATACCCAGCTGCGCCTCCAGCGCGCACAGCGTGCGCCAGAAGCCGTCGTTCGGCGCCACCAGGCTGCGCCTCGCCTTGGTCAGCTCCAGCGCCCGCTGCGCGCTCCACCTGCGCCAGCGGGAGGTTGGTTGGCGGCAGAGGAGGAGCAGGACGGCCAGGGTAGGCAGAGCCAGGCTGGCTGGGCGCGTCACGGCACAGGCTGCAGCACAGGTGCAGCCTGCTTTTCAGCCAGCGCAGGCAGACAGGCAGGCAATGCCTGCAGGACCATGCCGAGCTGCAGGACCACTCTACAGGATGCGCCGACCACGGCCCACCCCCATCCACCCACCTGTGCTTGCGCATGAGGTAGGCGATGCAGAGGGTGGCTGAGCGGGAGACGCCCGCGCCGCAGTGCACCAGCACGGCTGCAGGAAACAGGGAGTGCAGCAGGTGTGCGTGTGGAGGGCGGGCTGGGAACGTACTGTGGGGCGACAAGTGTGGGCAGGTGCGCAGGCACGGCAGGCAGCTGCACTGGCAGAGGCAGGTCCAGCCCGAAGATTCCACACATAACAACGAGCGGCTGCACCGTGCGGCACTGCACCGGCCAGCGCCGGCACTCACCCCGCTTGGCGGCGCGCGCCTCCTCGATAAAGTCTGCAGGCAGAGGCGGTGGGCAGCAGACCGGGTGCCACAACTCACAGGCAGGACCATGGCGGCAGGCAGGCTAGCAACTCTCTCTCTCTCTCTCTCTCTCCCCCCCCCCCCCACACACACACACACACAACCCACCCTGGCTGACCTCGCTCACCATAGGCGGCCCGCAGGTGGGCAGAGATGTCGGCAGTCTCGATGTCAGGCAGCTCGATCTTCAGGTGGCTGTACCTGCGAGGATGGGGCGGTACGGGGTGGTAGAGACGGACGGTACGGGGCATACAGAGGCGCTGCCAGGAGGCCGGCACGTCCACACTGTGCGCACCGAATATACGTCCACCCCCACCCGACCCACACACGCGCAGGCGTCCCCCCCCGCCCCCCTCCCACCGCCCACACGCTGGCACACCTCACCTTCCCGGCGGCAGGCGCAGGTTGTCTGGGTTGTTGTGGATGGTCACCACCGCCCGTATGCCCAGCTCGGCGTGCCGCTCCAGCGCCTCTGCGTGCGACCAGTCGCCCAGATACAGGAGCGGCTCCAGCTGGGAGGGGTAGCTGCAGGGGGAAGGTCAGGTGGTTGCGGGCGCAGCGGTGAGGTGGCAGGAGTGGCGCAGGATGCGGGGTGCCAGGATTGAGGCGAGGGCGGGGCACGGCCAGCTGGACGGCGACAGCGGGCCATGAGTGCAGGCCACGCGCGGCATGACATGACCGGCATAAGGCTGCAAGTAGAGACCCCCCAGGGCAGCCCCAAAGGGCCCAGCGCCTCGAGGCGTGGCGGCAGCACGGCTCACCGCCGCCCCGCCCCCGCCCGCACAGATGTGGTGACCAGGAAGGGGTAGCGCTGCTGGAAGGCCTCCAGACCCTCGCGGAACACTGCGATGCTGCGGGCGCGCCTGCGCGCAGGCAGCAGGGGGCATCGCGGCGGCAGGCAGGTGGGAGCGGGCCCAGGCAGCACCGAATCAGGCGGAGTTCGGGTGGGTGCTGTGCAGGCTGCCGAGCAGCCAGCCTGACGGCAGCAGCAGCGGTGCCGCCAGGAACGCAGCCAGCGGCAGCGGCAGCGCCAGCAGCAGCAGCAGCGGAAGGAGCAGCAGGCAGCGACAGCAGCAGGAGGAGCGGAAGCAGCGGCAGCAACAGGAAACAGCCAGGGGCCTGCTGCCGCAGCTGCCGCCACTCCGTCACCACCCACTTTTCATTGGCCAGGAAGGCGACGACGGGGTGGTCCCGCTTGAGCCCTGCCTCGCCATACACGATGCAGTCCTTGTTCCACCAAACATCCGTGCTCCACTTGAGGTCATACTCGCACTTGGAGTAGTCTGCAGGCGGGCAGGGCAGGTGCAAGCTCAAGCCCTCAATCTTGCCCCGCCTACTTCCAAGCCCATGGATGAAGGAGCCTGAGCTGAGCTCCTGCAGCGTCTGTGCGTCAACTTGACGCCCAGTTCTGGCGGGCGGTGGGCACCGCCCGCCAGCGGCGGCAGGCCGCGGCGGTGAGCGGATGGCCCCGATCGGCCGGCGGCAGCCTGCCACAGCGATTCTCCGTCGCATGCAGCCCTACCTAGCAGCGTGCCGCCGCTGGCAGGCAGCCTGATGCAGTATGAGCCGGCGATGTGGCCCCTGTCCCACTTTTTCTTGTCTCGAACGTCGATTATGAGCGTCTTGGGGTCGTGAGGGCAGGCTGTGAACACCCGGAACACCGCATCCGCATCGCACACCGCCACCACCTGCGCCTTGCCCTCCGTCATGCTGCTTGCGCACTCCTAGTGCGATTTGGAACGACGATGCGAGATGGATACCGCTGAGGCGCCTGGTGCCTGAAACCTTTGAGGCGGCGCTGCCGCCTCGTCGCCGCTCTGGTGCATGTGCATGAGTTTGCTGTCACGAAATTAATGCTACCACAAAACCGAATTCGAGACATTGGGATACAGCCAGAAGAGAAGCACTTGCTAGCAGGCAAGGCTCAGCCGTTGTGCGACGCAGCCCGCAGCAGCCTGCAGGCTGCCCGGTGCTGCGGCCACTCCTGCCGGCTGCACGCCTCGCTGCAGAAGCGCACTGTGCGGCAGCCGGAGCAGAGGCGTCCCCTGGGGGCTGCCGCCTCGCTGGCGCCCGCCAGCCTGCTGCACCGCGGGTTGGCGCACTTGAGCACCGCCAGCGCCCGTGCCCGCCGCACCGCCAGCTGCTCTCCCTCGGGGCCAAGGGGCTGCCTTCGTGGTGAGGCGCCGTCGCCTGCAGCTGGCTGCTCCTCCTGCTGCTCCCCAACCAGCGAGGCAAACAGCGGCAGAGCCTGCCTGCGGCGCTGCCCATCTTCCGAAGCCAGCCCCTCCACACACAGCCGCACATCACCCCGCTTCGAAGGGTCCACTTGCAGGTGGGGCGCCAGCTGGCGCAGCAGGAGCAGCAGGCACCGGTAATGCGTCTTGCCCTGCAGCAGGATGGCAGGCGCACACCTTGCTGCCCGATACCTCCGCGCAGCAGCCGGGCCTAGCCAGCGTCACCCCTGCCGCGGAAAGCACGCCACCCTCGGCATACGCCTGCGTTGCAGGCTCCCTGGGGCACACCTGCGGCGCCTGCCAGCTGGCGGCCTCCGCCAGCGCTGCGCCAGACGCGCACAGCATGCGCATCAGTGCCCTGAGCTTCACCAGCCGTGGCAGCACGGCTGGCTCCACGTTAGCCACCAGGTTCAGCATGTACAGTGGGGCATCCCAGTCATCAAGGTTGGCACCGCCGCCGCCGGGCGCACATAAGCCCTGCACACAAGGGGTTCGCGCACACCACGCCAGTGCATGCTTGATGACATGCCAGGTAAGCTGGAGATGGGACAAGGCGTTCTGAGCAGAGACAGCGAGCAGCCACCCACCCGCAGGCCCCGACAGGCCACCTCTGCCAGCAGGGAAAGCGTATCCATGCCGGCGGCCGCCGCGCTGGCGGTTCCCAGCAGCAGGCGCCAGAGCGAGGCCAGCGCCTGCTCTTCGGCCTTCAGCAGCACGTTCAGCATCACACAGCGCTTTCGATCCACCCCGCTCTGGACGGTGCCGGGAGGGAGCGGGAGCGCCGATAGGGTGCCCAGGAACAGAAGCAGGCAGCACTCCAGCCGCCTGCAAAGGACGCCAGCGACGCGACTCAGCTGCTGAGCGTGGTGGCAGGCACCGCCGGATGTTTCAACAACCAAAACAAACGCGCACCTGGCATAGGGGCCCTGCTCGTTGGCGGGCAGCCGCCCCATCATGGTGTGGCTCAGCGCGTATGTATGCATCGTGGACTGAGATAGGCAACATCCCAGGGACACAGCTGTGGACTCAAACACGATTGGCGCCTGCCCGCCTGCCGGCGACGGGTCTGGAGCTGCCGCGCAGCTGCCAGCTGCCGGCGCCCCTGCCGCAGCGCCGCCGCTGCCAGCTGCCGCCGTGCTGGAGGGGCGCAGGTGCGGCTCCATTGTGTGGGTGAGCTGGCAGGCGGACAGCAGGGCGTGGAAGCTGGCGAGCGCGTTGCCCGGCGAAGCCGCCGCCTCCCAGTCGGAGATGAACAGCAGGGATGCCACCACCTTGGGCAATAGCATGGCCAGCGCCACGCAGAGAGCCTCCGTGTCCAAGCCGTCAGATCTGGACATCAGCAGCGCGTCGGCGCCGCCCGCCGCTGCCACCAGTGCACCCATGCTGCGCCAGCTGGCGCCGAAAGAATCCGTCTCCTGCGCCGGCTGGCTCGCCAGCAACGGCGCCAGGCGCAGCAGCGCCTCAGCGGCGCGGCAGGCTGCAGCACAGCTGTCAGGAACGCAGAGTGAAGGAGCCAGCGAGCCATCCGAGTGGTCATTTGCAAGGGCACCACCATACTGCGCCCAATCGACCAACACACTGACCCATGGCTGCCCCAGCGCACCCCAGCACTGTGCGCCAAAGCTGCTGCTGCTTTGGGCAGCTCCCGCCGCAGTGCTATCTTGGGCCGCGGTCGCCGCTGCCGCTGCAACCTCCCCCGCCAGCTGGCACAGCAGCGGCAGGCCGCCGGGCCCGCCCAGCTGCTGCAGCAGCGCTGCCATGTCCGCTCCTGGCAAGCCCTGCTGCATGGCTAGCTGGCACACGGCGCGCCCGAGCCGGGCATGTAGACTCAGGCACGCCAGCAGCAGGGCTGCCTGCTCTCTGCCGTCCCTGGCTGCCTGCAGATGTGGGTGCGCCGCGAGCGCTCCCGCAGCAGCCAGAAGGCTGGTGTGGCTCGCCGCTGCCTCGTGCTGATGTGTGGCGGCAATCAAGCTGTCACTTGAAGCCAACACTTCAACCATACACCGGAGACAGGTGCACCGGTCACAATCCTGGACAGCCGCGTCCTGCTCGGACTCTGGCATCACAATGCCGCGGGCGCACCACCGCAGCACCTGCTGCTGCACCACGGGCCGCCGCTCCAATGCGGTATGCAAGCCGGAGCAAGTGCCTGTCGTGAACAGGCTCCACAAGGCCGTAACTGTGCTGGCAGAAGGCGTGTGATGTCCTGCGGCCAGGGCTGGCAGAGTCCCAGGCAGGTGACAGGGGAGAATTCCATGCATGGGAATGCAGGCAGGCAGGAGGCAAGATGCAAACGAGGAGGAGGCCGCAATGGGCCTAGCTGTTATGGCGCACCAGTGACCCACCCTCTGCAACCATCCATGCCAGGGAGGCTTGGGAGAGGGTGGACACAAAGGGGAGCAGCTTCTGCGGCGTGAGCACCGTGGCCGCCAGCACGGCTGCCACGCGGGGCGGCATCACAGGCGGCTCCACGGCCGCCAGGCCAGTCAGCCACACGATGGGCAAGCCGCAGGCGCTTAAGCACTTGTCCAGCGAGTCTGGAGCGGTGCGGCTGGGGCTGGGCCCCGAGACCGCTGCCGCCAGGTGCTGCAGCTGTGGCAACACACATTCCAGGGGCGCCGCTGCAACACGGGGCAGGGGCAGGCAGGCAGGGAGGAATGAAGAACGCTTTGTCAAGCAAGCACGGCCGGCACAGCCTGTCAGATACTGTGGCCAACCTGCCCAGCTGGTAGCGCCGAAAGCCTCACCACCCACCTGCCGCAGTCAGCAGTCGGACCCAGTCGCCTTCCACCAACTCCAGCGCCCCGCATCTCAGCAGCGGCAGCGTCGCCGAAAGGCAATCGCACACCAGCAGCGCGAGGACTCCTCCGCCAACCACTGGCCCACTTTTGAGGGGTACGGTGACGTCGGCCAGACAGGCTGCCAGCTCAGCGAATCCCCTGCGGCGGCGGCAGCGGTGGCGGCGGCGTTCGGGGGCACCGCTGGCCCCCGCCTTTTTTTCCGACAACCCGTGCAGAAGTTAATTACCTCGCAATTGAGGGGGGAACAGCCTCTCCACTGCCCACTTGGTAACACTTTTCGTGGAAAGGGTTCGAATTTCAACAATTTCTCCTCCTCGAACAGCCGGCCCCTAAAGTGGGCCATTTCCTTAAGCGGGCCCAGAGCTCCGTGGATTTGCTGCCAGTCAGGCTGTCCGTTTGGGCTCTCCATGATTTGGTACCAAAAGGGCCAGCGGCTGACATCCAGCATGCAAGCAAACGTTGCTATCAGGAAGAATGCAGCTGGCTGCCCTACCCATGCGCAGCTGGCGCCACCTCGCCGTCCGCTGGTCCATTGATGCATGCACTTGCAGCAATGCGGGCAGGCCTGGGTTTGATGACAAGTCAAACCTGCCATTACCTTTTATAAACGGGTTGTAACCAGTCAGTCAGCTACATGCCTGTAACCTTTGCCCACGGGGTTCCAACTATACCTGCAAACAGTTGCTTGGCATCCATCACCACCACCGCCCTCAACTCTTTCGCCGCAGTACGGGCCCGGGGCACCGCAGGAAGATGGCTGTGTTTTACATCATGGATGCACTTTTTATGGAGGCGCGGCTTCAGCTGGGCGGCGGCCTGGGTCGCGGCGAGGGTGGCCTGGGTCGTGGGCGAGGTGTCCGCTGGGGCCTGGGAGGCGGCGGCTGGGGCCTGGGCGGCTTGGGAGATGGCAGCTTGGGTCTCGGTGGCGGCCTGGGCGGCTTGGGAGATGGCAGCTTGGGTCTCGGTGGCGGCCTGGGTGGCTTGGGAGATGGCGGCGGCCTGGGTCGCGGAGGGGTGGGGGGCTTTGGAGGACGTGGTCTGGGCGGCGGGAGAGGTGGGCGTGGTTTGGGCGGCGGACTCGGCTTTGGGCGAGGAGGCGGAGGGCGCGGCGGCTTGGGCGACGGCGGCTTGGGTTTGGGCGGCAGCGGGCGCGGCGGCGGCGGCCGCGGCGGTCGCGGCGACGGCGGCGTGGGGTTCAAGTAGCCAGTCTGGACCGCCGTGAAACCAAACACGGCATTGTCGAAGCGCAGGGTGAAGGTGCCGGGCGTCATGCGCAGGTAGCAGGTCTGGGTGTCGGCCACGAGGGAGAAGGTGTCGCAGCCGGCGGCGGCGCACAGGTTGCAGCAGCCGCCCCAGGACGCTACGCCCTCGTGCACCTGGTCTCCGCCGCCGCCCAGCAGCGCGCTCCCCGAGGTGGAGGCGGCGAAGCGGGCGGAGATGACGGGTGAGCAGCGGGGGGACGGGACCACGGGCGGCGGCAGCGGCGGCCGGGGGCTGGGCGGCCGCGGGGACGGCGGGGGCGGCCTCGGCGGGGGCCGCGGCGGCGGGCTTGGAGGCGGGGACGGCGCTGGGGGCGGGGCCGGCGGGGCCGGCGGCGGGACGGGCGGCGGCGGGGAGCACTGCCACTGCGACGGGCACACGCGGCGGGACTGCGCCTGCAGCACATAGGTGCCTTCCGACGCGTCGGCCACATACCAGGGCGGGAAGCTGCCGAGGTTCTGGTTTGGCACATTGTACAGCCGCGGGTTGAAAAAGTCTGTGGCCGCCGAGGCGTTGCACACAAACTTGAGGATGAAGGCACCGGTCACGCCGACCACGTTGGCGCAGTTGCCCGGGGTGGGGGCATAGACCTGCGGGGGCAGGGTTGGAGGAGGGCTGGAGGGGGGTTGGAGGGGAAGAGGGTTGGAAGATGGATGCTGCCAACCCCCCCTGGGGCCCGCGCCCCCCGCCCCTGGCGCGCGCAAACTCTGGGCACGCCCGTCGGCGCGGCCACGCGAGCTGCCGCCGCCGCACCTGGCGCGTGGCGCTGGACTGGGCGGGGCAGAAGATGGCGGTGGTGTTGGTGGCGGTGTTGATGCCAGACCCGGCTTGGGAGCGAACCTCTTGGATCACCTGCACCTCTACCCCCCGCACCACGCGATAGGTGATGTAGATGGTAGTGGTGGAGTCAGAGACGGGCACGAAAGTCCCCTCCATGACCGTCCCCACCGGCAGCTGCAGGCAAGTAGGGGGCAGGAGGGCAAGCCGGGCAGGCGTGGTGCCGGCAGGTCAGGGCAGGGCCAGACGCTGGCTGTGGAGCCAGGCTGCGGCGCATGGCACCTGCCAGTGGGCCGGGAGCATAGAAATTTGCTCTCTTTCTCTCTTTCTTTCTTTCTAGAAGCATGACATGCCGCCGCAGCTGGCAGCAGTGTGCCTGGGCTCGGGCAGCAGCATCTGCAACGGCCGGTCCCAGGCGTGCGGGGCAGCCCGGCCCACCTCGCTGATGGTGTTGCAGGGTGTTGGCGGCAGCGGAGGCGGGGAGGGTGGGCGGGGAGAAGGCGGCGAGAGCCTGCAGCGCGGGTCGTGGCGGGCAAAGAAGGCAACGCTGGGTGAGGTGTGGGAGCCAGAGAGGCTCGCGGGCTGCAGCTGGCGGCAGTGGCGGCACACCGCGCGGGCCTGCTGCAGCACAGGCGTAGGGCAGCATGTGCGCCGACACCAGCCTGCTGCTGCCCGGTGACTCACGTGGGCGAGGGTGGTGCAGGGGGGGGCGGGGGGCTGGGAGGAGCGGGGGGCCTGCGCCAGCGGGGCCGCCCACATGCAGCGCGGTAAGGTCACACAGGAGGGCAAGCAGGCAGGCAGGCAGGCAGGCGATGCTGCGGGGAGCGCCTCCTGCGCTCCCACCATACCACACACGCTGCTGGTGGCACAAACAACCGCAGGCTGCAGCCGGCCTGCTTCGCTCACAGAGGCGCTGGGAACGGCGGGGATGGCGGATGCGGGGGAGGAGAGGGCGGCAGCGGCGGCGAGCACTGCCAGGTAGATGGGCTGCAAGGACGCGGGCAGAGGCGAGCGGGAGCGGCGCTGCAACGTCAGACGCCGCGGCCTGCCACGCTGCTGCAAAGCGGGGGCACCGCCATCTCAAGCACTGTGCACCACGGCTGGCAGGGGTGGACGACCAGCGGTGCTGGCGCATGCCATGTGTTCCGAGCAGACATGGCTGATGCCAGCAGCCCATCCCCAGCCGGCCCAGCCGTGCCATGTGCCAGCTGCCGGTACCGGCTCACCACACTCGGGTGGACGCCACTGTGAGGTTCAGGGTGCAGGAAAAATAGTCGAAAGAGAACCAGGGCACGGGGGCGCCCTGCCAGGGCGGCTCGAAGAGCGGCGGGTCAAAGGCGTCGGAGCCGTTGGCGGCGGGGGAGCACGCGTAGGTGACGCGCGTGGTGATGACCTGGGCGGTGGCGGCACACAGGCCCGGCCCGCCCACCACACCCCAGTACACCTGCTCGAGAAGGGAGCGCGGCAAAGCGTGGGGGAGGCAGGTGTCAGCCGGCTGGCCTGCATCTGCCCATTGGCGCGCAAGCCCCTGGCGCGGCCAGGGCTGGAAAACGCCTGGAGCAGCCCTGCACCTGGTATGTGGCGTTGGAGAGGCCAGGGAAGAAAGTGCCCATGGAGACGGCGTTGAACAGTGTGCTGGCATTGGGGCCCTCCAGCTGCACGTTGCCCAGCAGCACTTCCACTGCGTTCGGGCAGCAGCAGCAGGGCACGGTGCGGGTAGCGGCGAGCACGGGCGAGCGCCCACGAGGTAGGAGGGCGGCGGGGAGGCGTTAGTGGCCTGGGCACGCGGCTGGCGCCCCTCACCCTTGTTCACCACCCTAACCGCCTGGTGGAGGGAAGGCACGATGGTGCCAAATGCGCCCTGTATAG